TTAATTCAATTTTTGCAAAACCATTTTTTACACGTGGCCAATTATAATTCGGCCATGTCATTATTTTTTTTATAATAAAAAATCAAAATTCTAAACAAACATTTTAAAAAATGGTTTTGCAAAACCACCGTTAAAAAATAATGGCATGAATGAGCCTTTTCTTAAACGGTAATGGCATAGATGAGCCAAACTTTTAACGGATGGCATAAATGAGCCTTTTCTGAAAGTTCAATGGCATATTTGAGCGTTTTCCCTTTTTAGAATCGTCTCAACCTTTTGTTTACAAATTTTTCTTCAGCCGCGATAGCATCCTCAATGACATATCTCCATTAAAGTTGATGAGTTCAATGAAAATTCAAAAAGATGTTATCGTGAAAGTAGAACCCAAAAATGAGTCCAATATTTGTGGTGAGGAATGGACTATTTCTTGGTCCAAGTCCAAGAGAAGGAAAATTGGGGCTACATGGAGCCAAAGAGAATGTCCCCACATGAAGCACAAGAGGTGCCCAAAGTGGAATCTCGAAAGAGTACATTTTAGGTAGACTTACCACTACCCCGTAGAGGTAGAGAGGTTGTTCCCGAAATACCCTCGACTCAAGTGCGTCAAACTCAAGCAATAGAAAAAAATGACGTAGGAAGCAGTGAAGATAGCATGGCAGTTAAATAAGAAAATTAGTGTATAGTCGACAAAATAAGCAATAACAACAATAAAATAATGTAGTAATCGGAACAAAATAAACAACATATGGAGATAGACACCGAAATCAAGAACTACAAGTGTACGATAGCTAGTAACAAGCCTTAACCCTCGCAGGTATGAAAACACTCTACCCATATAAACCTGATTAGGCCTAATGGGCGACCTCCACTCATTCATATCTAGAGTTATGTCCTCAACAATATGAAGTTGCACCATGTATTATCCAATTACCTCTTTCCAATAATTTTCAGACTACCTCTACCCCTCTGCTTACCCTATACAACCAGCCTCTCGCACCTCCTCATTAGAGCATTTGCACACCTCTTCTTCACATGTTCAACAACTCAAACCATCTCAGTCTTACTTCCCTTATCTTGTCCGACACAAATACCACTCCCACCTTCTCCTGGATAACCTCATTTCTAATCTTGTCACTCCTGGTATGTCCACACATCCATCTTAACATCACCATATCTACAACATGCATCTTTTAAACATGTGGGTTCACTCAAAACAACAAGGACGTTTTGGCAACCACTATGTAGAACTTACCTTTAAATTTAGGTGGTACCTTATTATCAAACAAGACTCTAGAGGCAAGCCTCCTTTTCATCCATGGTGCTCCAATGCAATATTTGTCATCATTATTGATGTCTCCATTTTCTTGGATTACAAATCAAAGATACTAAAGACTTCTCTCTCAAGAATAGTATGTGTGGCAAGCCTCACTTTCATGGTTGTTTCATCCAGTGCAACACTGAACCCTTTGGACTCCAAATTTTATCTCCAAACCTCCAACCTAGCATTAACTTTATCCCTTATCTCATCAATTATTACTATGACATATGAAAATAACATACACCATAGAACCTCTTATTGAATAGACTGCGTGAACTTATCCATCACCAAGTAAAATAAGAACGATCCAAGAACAGATCATTGGTGCAGCCCCATCTCAACTAGGAAATGCTCTGAGTATTTTAACCCAAGTCTTGGCTCCATTGTACATGTCCTTTATTGATCTAATATAAATCATCGGACACCTCTATCCTCCAAGCACCTCTAGAGGATATCCTTGGGACTTTGTCATAGGTCTTTTCAAGGTCAATGAACACCATATGTAGGCCCCTCTTCTTTTTCCTATATTTCTTTACCAGTCGCCGAACATGATGGATGACTCAGTAATTGATTGTCCTAGCATGAATCCAAATTGATTCTCGAAAATGGACACTCTAATCCTCACCCTCATCTCCACCACTCTCTCCCAAATCTCCATAGTATGGCAAAGTAATTTGAAACCCCTGTAATTTTTATAATCTTAGATATCGTCATTGTTCTTGTACAATGAAACCATTGTACTCCTCCTCCACTCATCGAGCATTTTTTCCGTCTTAAAAATAACATTAAACAACCTAGTTAACCACTTCATATCTTTCTTGTCTATGTTCTTCCAAAATTCCACTGGAATCTCATCGGATGCGATGATTCTTCCCCTGCTAATCCCACTAATTTCCCATTTGACCTCTTAAATTAAAATACTAAAACACCTACGGTATCCAAAGTCCCCATGTCTTTTAGATTGCGCCAAATCACCCAACACAATGTCTCCATCCTCTTCATTATTTAAATGTTTGTGAAAGTATGCTTGTCACCTTTTTAATGGAGGTCTCTTCCATCAACACCTTTCCTTCATTGTCCTTGATTCACTTCACTTTATCCATGTTATGGTTCTTTCTCTCTTACTTGTGTGAGCCATTATCCCCACTTTTGTCCCAAGGCTCGACATATAAGCATTCAAAAATTACTGTCATATCCTTCGTCGTAACTTCTAACTTAACTTCTTTTTTCATTGACTTATTGACTTCCTAAAGGGTTCATTTCTCTTCCTCATCCACACACTCAACCAACTTTGTATATGAAACCTTATTTGCTTCCACTCTTACTTGGAATTCTCCATTCTATCACCAGTCTCCGTGACGACCACCAAAGTTACACCTCGATACCCCTTGCACCTTTGTAGCTGTTTCCCTAATGCAATTAGTTGTTTTATCCCACATATACATCCCTGCTACTGCTCTAAGCCTCCATACCAATCAACTTCTCATTGATCTCCCATGAAAGAGCAGGGGTAAATCCACCTCATTTAATCCTTGTTCAATCATATATGATTTTCTTCCTCATGTCCCTCTTAATCTCCATGTCCATCACCAAAAGATTGTGTTGGGTAGAAAGATTTTCATTAGGAATAACCTTGCAGTCTTTACAAAGACCTCTATAACCTTTTCCTAAGGAGTAAGTAATATTTTTGAGTCTTAGCTACCGTGCTCTGAAAGGTAACAAAGTAATTCTCCCTCTTTGGATAGCACGAGTTAGCAATCACCGACTCAAAAGTTTTAGCAAAATCCAAAAGCGAAGCTCCACCTCCATTGCTCTCCCCAAAGCCAAACCTTATTAACATCATCAAAACCACTAAATGTTGCCTTGATATGGCCATTAGAATATCCATCAGTGAAGATCTTCTTGATGTTTGGTATACCTCATCAAAATCCTCCGAAAATAGTTTTTTGGCCTCCTCGTCCAAGTTTATTTGAGGCGCATAAGCACTAACAATGTTCAAAGTAAGCTCTCCACTGACTAGCTTAATTGTCATCATCCTTTCATTGATCCTCCTCATCTCCACCACTTTCTCCCTAAGGTCCCCTTCTATAAAAATATCTACTCCATTTCTATCTCTCGCGCCTCCTGAATACCACAACTTAAACTAATCCGTATTTTGTGCCTTGGTACTTACCGATCTGGTCTCCTGGACACAAGCTAAATTTTTCTTCCTTTACTTGAGAATCTTCATTAGCTCTATGGAATTCCCCGTCAGCGATCCTATGTTCCAAGATCCTACTCTCAGCTTAGGTGAATCATAACCTACTTACTACTACTTTCCCTAGCCCTCGACCTCGATCAAAGACATTGTCCTAGTCCACTATCATTCACCAAAGACACTAGAAAGATGTAAACTACACAAGAATATGCTTTAAAGTATTGGATCAGGTGAATAAGATAGTGAGAAACTATACTATAAATCAAAATACTGATGTGGAGTAAATTAGAATGCAAGAAAGAATTAAGAGTATGAATTCTTAATCTGAACTATACTATCAATCAATAAAACAATCAAAATAATAAGACTGTAAGGTACAAATAAAGGTAGCAGAATCAGGCTATCCAAATAGAAAATCCAACTGCAACATCAAATTCTAGAACCTTAAAAGCTACATGTATGTTCTTCAAAATAGTCATAGTGATTTCAGTAGTATGACTTACATTAATGAAACGTGTTTCTTTGATCATATCATTGTTGTTTTTGAGTAATGGATATTGTTTATTAATGCATGTCTTCTTGATTTTGCAAGTGAAATTTGAGGATGAATTATTTTCAAGAAGAGAGAAATGGATATATAGCCTTTATGGTGGCATACTTCTATTAAAGTTGATGAGTTCCATGAAGAGGCAATGATACGCTAGGGCCAATAATGGCACCGAGTATCAATCTCGCATAGAATCCAGGCTCAGGACGTGATAAATACACATGTATGTCGAGTCATGTAGTAATTATTAATTTTATCTTAGCCGTGCATGATACGTGACACAATATATAAATATTTATATAGAAAAATACCATGGTTCACATCAATTAAAACTCATAGAAATGCACACAATACAATTGCTCATCACGCAAATCTTGGCCAAAATGGTGACACACATAAATCAGCCTTATTACATTGTTATACACATAAAATAGGTAGCTTCTTAATTATTTGGTTGCATAGTCAAAGCTATGCCATGATAAAGTGGAAGTGTCTTAGTAGTGGCAAGGTGAGTAGCAGTAACAAGCATATTTTGCCCAGTAATATTTGTGATCCCATGGTTTGTACTTCTTACATATACCATATTTAGCTCCATAGTAATGCTAGCAATGATAACTACATTTGTAAGAGTATTGGCAAGGTCCATTCCACTTGTCACTTTTTTTCCAACACTATTTGCCTTCTGCCATTTGTATTTCTGCAAAAATGAGAAAATTTAAAATTAATTAAAAAAATAAACATTTTGAAAATTCATAATCTTAAACAAATCATATATTTGGTAGCTATAGAATCATGTAGTCTCACTAGTTGCAGCAACAAGGAAGAAGCAAAAGAGGAGGGCGAGAAAAGTAGTGTACTTTGCCATAGCTCTTATTTTCTATTGATTTCTTGGTGACGAAACAAACAATTGAAATGATGGTATTTATAGTGTTGGAAACTCAAGTTGTCCACTTAATTCCATTTGATTTGTTCAAGGAATACGCTGGATGTTTGATTAATTAGTCATGAGAGATGGATAATTAAATTATGACACATCAAGTACAAAGAATTAGTCCAACACCATATATTAGCATTTCTTTACTTGTAAAGAATTTGAATTGATCAAAGAGTCATTTAAGTTATAAAGTCTTCTACTAATTAACTGATCAATTCTATACTAATTGTTAATACATGTAATTTTAACAATTGTAGCAAAGGTTATGGACTACTAATTTTAAGAATTGTAACAGGAACACATTTTGTAGAAAATCACATGAAGGTTACTGATAAAAAATCACATGAGAAGTACCGCAAATGCTTTTTGCACAATAGTTTCCACCTCAAATTCCACAAAGCCAAAACAAAATCCCTGTTGTTATCATCCACCAACAATAATTAATTATAAAAATACGCAAAAACAACTATAAACTGATAAATGTATCCCCTAAAAAGCTAAAACATTGAACTGGAAAGCCTCCGTGCTTTTCCTTACAATATATCACATGTAATTTTATCTGTGACACATAAATTAAATAATAAAGTAATATATTATCTAGTTGTTAGGTATAGACAGGGACAAAGTAGAGAATAAATTACATTTCCCATGCGCCTCACCTAAGTTGTACCACGGAGTGTGTCATGTAAGCCAAAAGGTGTATAAAATTACAAAAAAAAAATGAGTTCAGAAGGTAATAGGACTTTAGATTAGTTAAGGTGTGTCTCTGAAATTTCAGTCATAGTCTAGGGGTACTTGTGCCTTATCCTATTAAATATTAAATAAATAATCATATCATATTACGTTATCGTCATATTATATCCTTTAAGCATATCTACAACTTTAAGTTTTAGAATTTCATTGGTTAGATTAAACTTGTAGAGTGTATACTAATTGTATCTAATCATTATCATCATCATCATGCTTAAAATATCCTTCCCTTCTAATTTTAGAATATTCTTTAACCTTATAGTCGGAAAATGTGCATATATGTTGTACAAATCTTTAAAAATAAACGAAATTAATTTGTATCTTCTATCAATGTTTTTGGGTTCATAATAAATATATACTTGAACACCTACACATTAATTAATTTAAATATTTTTATACATGTCATTATCCTACTCTTCTAGGAATTTGAATAGTTCCACATTCAAAAAATCTAGGGATAATTTTAGAGACCTCCTCTAGGTTTGTCTTCATAACACTTAGTTCCCTCGTGGTTTAAGATATTAACTAACCTCCTTTGTTTCGATTTTCTTGTAACCAAACTAGTTTTAAATGATAAAAGTCCATTATGTTCCAAAAAACTGGATTATTCATCCCCCTCTGAAAAATAAAGAGAAATGTGCTCGTTCAAGCCTAAATATTATTATTAATTAAATAACATGATTGTAAGAGAAAAAAATAAGACACATTATAGTAGTATTAAAATTTAGAATTTCTTAGAGTTCCCATTCCTCATATTATTTGAATATAAAAGTTCTAATTTCTTAGCCTAGATGTTGTAATATAATAATATTTTTAGGGAAGAAAAGTGTATTATAAAACATTGTTCGAATAATTTACTTACAAAAGGGTAAATTTGAAATATATATAATTTTTATCATTTAAAACTGGTTTGGTTACAAGAAAATCGAAATTATATGGGAGGTTAATGCCAATTAGTATATTGAATAAAACCAATTAAAATGAGCCTTTACAATACTTAACCCAATTTTTTTTAGTTATTGTAGTACTAATGTCTCCCTATTTCTTCATTCTTGCAATACATGAGATAATTAGAATTGGTTTTTGTAACTTTTCTTTTTCTTTGTTCTTAGGCTTAATTTGTTAATAATAAATTGTTTTTTCATGTTAGCAGATATATTACAATATAGCTAGGATGCATATAAAATATATTTGAAAAATTGAAATGTTTAGACTCCAATGAAGAGGTGGATCGACTAGCTAGTGGAAGACATTCAACTTGGTCATAAATCTTTCATATGGAACTTATCTATTTATTATATCTTGTAAATACACAAATTCATCATATGTTTCAGGTCTGGGATAATTAGCATTAGAATCAAATCAAGGCATATCATCTTGGTTACTCTCTATAGTTAAAGTAGTGAAACACTTGTATCTTTATTGTACTTGCCCAACAGAACAGAGGGGACTACTGAACCTACGTTGGCACATAGTTATGGGACTGTGAGGGTACGCTGAACCCTAGTCCAACTAGGTGCTAATTCTACTCCCAACTGAGTATGTATATAGCTAAATGCAACTGAAATACTGATTATACACTATCTGAAAATGCAACATAAATATACTGAAAGATATGACATTCGAGTTATGAAGCACGATTCTCTAACTGATCTGCCTAGCAAGTATAATTCATGAGTATTAATAATTAATACAAGCTAGAGTTCTGAATTATATACATGGAACTATGCAAATTTTCCAAGAAACATGTTATTTAATATCGTGGAACTATAGCAACTAAAGTCACAATGAATCTCCACGATTTTGGAAACCCTAGGTCTTAACAATTTATGAGAACTTGAAGAACTAAATGAATTCTAGGGATCTAATCGGTGAAAGGAACCCACTAGTGAAATTCCTCATACCCAATGATGAAAACTACGGAGAAATCCTTTGGCTTCCGGGGATGAACTTGAAGAAGACCTCTGCTTGTTCTTGGAAAAGCCATCACCTCTTTTCTCTTCTTTTTTGTTCTAAGTTAGACTATTTTAGGAGAATAAGTGTTCTAGCTTGTGTCTGACTAGATTATTAGTCTTAGACTAACTAAAATAACGTAGTTTAAGAATTAAACGACGTATTTTAAGTACTAAACACATAGGGGAAAAGGCCAATGCGACCCTGACTTAAAAGCTGACGAAGTGCTTTCAAGACAGGTTTCACGGGTCGTCTAGAGCACCACGGCCCGTCAAGTGGATCGTGAAGATGCTCTGCCCGACATGGCTTCACTATTTCGAGCATAACTTTTTACTCCGAGCTTGGAATTAGGCAAACTCGGTGGCATTGGAAAGACGATTTAGAGATCTTTAATTTGATAGGTAATGGGCCACATAGTTCATTGTGTGATGCATTATATGATCATATGAAGTTGACCCTAAACTCTAAGTCGGACAAGTCTCCTTCACGGAATACTTCACTATCACGACCCAGGGGTACACCTTAGATGTAACATGGTGTATGGAACCCTAAAGGACTCCATACAAGCCACTTAGCTCTCATAACATAAGAAATAGAACAATAAGAGTAAAATAATAGTCCAAGTACAAAACATTTTATAAAATGAAAAGTGGAAGTCTAGGCTTTTTGTCTCAT